ATTTGCTGTGATGATTCTACATAACATGAAGTTTTCTTGAGCCAAATATGAAAGTTCTATACCCAATTTGAAGATCCCAAAAAGATTCCTAAAGAGTAATGTTTTTTTAACCCCATTTTTGGCGATTTTTTCGATTTTTACAATAATAATCATGATTCTTTCGATTTGTAACTAGTCATATCTTGTAAAAAATTTAATTAGACTCATTTTTTTCCTCTTCTATTTTCGTCTAAAATCAACTCTTGAAAAGATACATAATTAAATAGGAGGAAAAATATGACATATTTCGAATTTTTTAACGTATTGTGCCGCCAAAAGTTAAGCCCACGTTTTTTTTATGCGCATGGAAAAATTTTCATTTCTAGTGATATTTGAAAGCCAAAAAGCCAAAAATCTCCGTGGATATACGATTCACCCAAACCAAAACAGATACCGCCTAGTCTACAATTGATTAGACGAATCAGTGCATTTTAAATTAATCAGAAACAACTTAGGTACAACAGCAACAAAATTAAACCGTGAATGATACGCATGAAACGAGAACTATTATTGTTGTGTTGTGAAGTACGATTCTAAATGAAGTGTCTTTGGCTGTATGGTGTGTTTGTACCTTCATCTTCATTGTTAAGTTTCTGTGTGATGTTATGGAGAAAACATCAAGAATAATAATAATAATAACAATATGGAACTTATCATATTAATGAATATTTTAAATAAATAAATAATTTAATTAATAAACTGCTTACAAACAAGAAGAATCAACATCACTGCGATGTCTACTTCTCTTCCTCTCCACTTTCAACGGTTTTAGAGACCTAAGCGAAGCGTTTTGATCCCGCGCAGGTTCCACGTAGTCGTTCCACGTAATGGGACTCGGTGGGATTGGGGGTATCAGAGGCGGCGCCGTCTGGGTGCCAGAACTATCCCATCTTACACCCTTCTCTCTGAGATCCATTCCCGATTGTTTCATGCTGATGTTACCTGTGCTGCTTGTGTCCATCAGAAATTTCCTTCTGGCCCTTTGAAATTCCTCCAGCTGCTTTAGAACTATTTCCTTTTCAGCATGTTCTGTCTTCTCTAGGCCCTGTGCTGGTTTTAAGCTACAAGGACAAGAGACTTGTTTTGAGTAACACCAGTAATAAAGCTAGCTAACTCTTATAGCTATGAAGGTACTTCCATTATGGCTAAACTAATTTTTGGACCATTATTTGCGTTATTAATGATCACCGCTTTTAATATTTTAGATAATGATGTCTATGTACAGGGTGTCCCATTAATATTGCGAAAAAATTGAGAGGGAGTTTCTTTGACCAAAGATAAGAAAGAAAGTTCCTATAAACCTATGTCCGAGAATGCTTCGTTTCGGAGATACAGGGTGTTGAAATTTAGAGAAAATACAAAGTTTTTACTAATAACTGGAGAACAGTAATTCCGATTTTTTTGAAATTTGATATGTTTGTTTATAAAAACGGTCTTCTGACGTAATTTGATTTATTTTATCTATTCCAGCGGCCGGCGTCCGGGGACTCACTCCTGTTGATATTAATAAGTAAACACAAGAGACGTCACTGCTTTTTCTTAGGTGTCATATTTTTTTCTAATTATGCGATTAAAAATACAACTTTTTTGTCACTTTACTTTTTTTTGATATTTTGCTTCGTTTTCGAGCAAAAAATTAATATCCTTTCATGCGCACATTCTTAAGGGAAGTAGAATACAAAAATAGAAATTCAATGTTTTAGTTATTTCTTTAGTACTATTAATCAACTTTAACAATACATTTGAAGGAAAAACAATGTAACAAGCTGAGAAACAATAACTCAGTATATAATATATTTTTTAAATAATTATTATTAACAGAAACATAAGAAAAAATATTCAACAAACAGCAATGATATGAAAAATAGTTCGTTCAACTCTAATACAAGCATCTATCCTACGACACATTGATTGGCGAACCTATTCAAATATTCCGGCTGTGTCTAATTGTTCCACAGGATGCGACAATGCGGTTTCTTAATTCGTCTATGGTTTGCACTGGAGTCGTATAAAACAAATGTTTGTGTGCGAGATCGCCCGTTTCCTGCGGTAAGTTTTCAAAAACTTCCAGTTTCACTAAGACGTTGATGAAGACGGGTGAAGATAGTACGATGAGGAATTATACGATTAGGGTATTTCTGCTCATAGAGGCGCCTGGCCTGGCGACTAATGCATTACTGTTGGCAAGGCCATAAAGAAAATGCATATCGCACATTTCACTATTTGTGTAATTCATTTTGGCAAGCAGGAATTGGCAACTACACAGTTCAAGTACTTATTAAAATCACACACTTAAGCTATTAATTTTTTGCTCGAAAACGAAGCAAGATATCAAAAAAAGTAGAGAGACAAAGAAGTTGTATTTTTAATCGCATAATTAGAAAAATGACACCTACGAAAAAGCAGTGATGTCTCATATGTTTGTTTATTAATATCAACAGGGGTGAGTCTCCGGACGCCGCTGGAGTAGATAAAGTAAATGAAATTATGTCAGAAGACGTCTACCGTTTTCATAAACAAACATACCAAATTTCAAAAAATCGGAATAAGGGTTCTCCAGATATTAGTAAAAACCTTTCATTTTTTCTAAATTTCAACACCTTGTATCTCCAAAACGAAGCATTTTCGGACATAGGTTTATAGGAACTTTCTTTCTTATTTTTGGTCAAGGAAACTCCCCCTGAATTTTTTCGCAATATTAATGGGACACCCTGTAGTTCTATTTACTGCAACTACCTGTGACTTGTCATTGGCAACTCGTTGAACAATCTAACGACGATGAAACATTCATTCAAACAGAGGAAAGCTGGGATTATGGTCACGACATTGAGACAAAAGTTCAATCATCACAATGGATTGGCAAAGCATCTCCATGCCCCAAGAAATCACGTCAATCTCGATGAAATGTCAGTGATGCTCACTGTTTTTTCGACTTTAATGGACTTGAGCATTTTGAATTCTTGCCTTAAGGATCGAAATTTCAACTAGTAATACATATGTGTATCTAGTTTATTATTTTATTCTTGTTATTAAGGGTTGTTCATTTTCCAATGACAAGATTCATTTTCTCATATTACGTCAAACTACGAGGTAGACTATATTAATTTTACACTTACTAGGAAAAATTTGCTGGAGCATCAGAGCTGCTTGCACGATATTGTCCCGCAGTGTTGCAAGGGCTTTTACATTCTGCTCCAATGGATTCGGCAAGAGCAATTGGTAAAGTTCCATTGAAAACTTCCTTTTTCTTCGCTATGACGATGGGTTGTGAATAGAGATTCGCTGGGATTTCGATGATTGTGTCATCTGTGGGGTCGATGGTGCCTTTGGGGACGATTAATTTTTGGATTTTAGGAGCATTTTTCGCATCCTTTTTTGGCATAATGAATTTTGAAGAATTTGGCCGAAAGACATGTTTAGCTATGCATAATGTCAAAATTGAAGTAGGAAATGTCACTTGGTTTCAATTAAATACAACTAGAGACCGTTGTGGTAGGAATTGTATTATGCAATTGTTTATTTTCGTCTGGTAATGCTTTGTAAAGGTTAAAGTACATGTTAGCTTTTTTCAGCAACTTCTTTTTTTGAAAGACTGACTGGTCAATTCAGAAATGTTTTTCAAGGTTTATAAGTTTAACTGTGGTTCAGGAACTCAAAATTCAAAGCATAAGAAGAATTTGAGGTGCAATTTTACAAAGTTTATTTGAGATTCCAACGAAAAATCAAATTTCATGGTATTCGTGTTTAAAAGGACTATCCAGCGAGGTGTCACTCCATATACCGTGCTATTTAGATAAAAAATTAGGATGACGGTATATCCGGAAAGCGAGTAGTACCACCTATGCGTACGTCACATCAAAAAGTACTGAACGAAAAAAAATAATTGACCTGTTCCAGCATTTTGTAAACAAATGCATAATAAAAGTTTTATGAATTATTTTATTAGTACCTATATTAGTATAGAACCTGCATAAATGATTACAAGTCACGTAACTAATAATTTTGTTTGGTTGTGATTGGTGTAATTTTTCACGAGATTCTATTCAGCCAACCGACGATCGCACTATCTCGGGTGTAGATGTAACAGTTTGTCAGTGTTCATTGTAAACGAAAAATTAATATTGGCGACGGCGACGCCAAAATTTAGGAATTTTTCGTTACCAATACCAGCCCTGCAATGTTGGTTGTTTAATCTCAGGTATCACGTGGCTTTTAAACATTTATGTTTATATTTTAGCACTTCAGTCTTGAGGTATATCTTACGTTAAATGTGAAATTCATAATTCTTATATGTGGAGGACAAAACAACCTAACATTATTTTAATTTAATACAATTTTACGAAATAATTTGTATTTACTGAATTTTTGTAAGCATTATACCAGTTATGTTGAATTTTTAACCTGAGATTAACAGATTAGTTTAGACAAATATTAGACGTATTTTTTAAAGCAGGTATTCAGTGTGACCCCGGATGTAGTACCGCACACTTGTAAACTTTTTTATTGTTGAATTTTTAACGAAAAGAAAAATTAAAGACACTTTGTTTAAGGAAAATTTCACATTTTGAAATTTTTTAGATGCCCTGTTTGTTTTATTACATATTTGATTACTGGCTTCCAAAGAAAAGCAAAGCTTTTGATTAAGAATAACTTTTTACACCATCCTGGGACACAATGTATTTTAGATACAAAATTAATCCACCTTCTTTCACAGATTTCTGAAACTGTGGACAATATCAAAAGTTAGAAGGACCCTCATTTAATAACGTTGGCTATATTACACTCCTTTTTTATTGTTTTCTCGCAAATTATTAAAAAATGGATAGACTAAAACCAGTTACTAGGTATTAATTGTACCATTTGAATCAAATAAACTGTTTGTCCTGTTTGACGTGTTGCAAAGAAAACTAGGCAGGTATACTCAGAAATGCTTTATTTTCAGCAACATAGACAGTGAAAAATCAGTTAAAAAAATGTATCAGGAAGAACTCCAACAATTTCACCGGCTGGGTTTTGTTCTATTTTTCAGAATAAATAGTATCACCCTCCTCGAAAAAATGTCGACAATCTTCTATAGTGAGCTAAAAAGAATATATAAAATGCATTTTATCTTTGATACTACTGAGAGAGATAGAAAACAACTTTTTCGCTTTTCAAGAAAAAGTCGTCATATGATAGTATCTAATATACTTATAAATATAACTAAGACACTTAATTTTATACACATAATTTAAACTATAATAGTCCACAATACAGGACCCCCCCTGGAAAGTTGATTACCACACACTTTATAACTCGTGAGGAGCTTCGTTTTGACGAGTCTACCACACTTTTCCTCTGCAACCTTTCTCGATTCCTCCGCTTTTCCACTCGGAAAAGTTTAAAAACATGTCAATTTTCCGGGGTCTTGAAAAGTCAAGACCACATCTTTTTTTTAGCTTAAGTTACTGGAAATTTTGTTGCAAATGCCGATTTAAATTTGTCCGACAGAAATTCTTCCGACAATGACGTGTCTACCGGCCGAAATATGCCAAAATGATAGGTTATTGAAAATCAATTACCACATCGGTAATTTTTAGTAAAATTAATTGTAAATAATTAATTCAGTCGAAAAGTACTGTTGTCCGACAAATTTCAAGCCGCGTTTTTTAAGTCCGACAGCTGGAAATCGGAATTTTCACGGGGTATGATAAATCGATTACCACATGTCGGACAAAAATAACACACGATAGAGAAGTGTTTTTTATAAGCAAAAATTGTAATGTCCGACAAAAATATATCCGCAAATCGTCAGTCCGACAAAAAAAGATGAAAAAAATTTCGTAAAAAGTGTACACAAGTATTTATAATTTCTAATAAACTATTTTCAGGTATTAAGCAAAATTCCATATAAATATATATTTTTTTCGTTTTATTCTTGTAATTGTAAATCTCTTATGCTCAAATTAGCCAAATAAATAAATGTGTTAAAAAATTATGCACAAAAGTTTCAGAATTTTCTTTCAGAAAAATAGGAAAATTTTTATAAAAAAATAACAAACGCGAATAAAGACTTGAAAGAGAAAAAAGAATTTTTATATCAAGTATAATAGGCCAATCATTATAGCTTTTTTTCGGGAAAAAAATACTATCAGAAGTTTTTCTGCGGAATATTGTTCAGAACCGTGTTATAAACAAAATATCAAAAAATCAACTCGAGACTAGTTGGGAAACTTTGTTAAAACAATGGTCAAAATTATGAAAAAGTAGTTTTTCGACTGGCGTAAAAAACTGTTATTCATAGAGAAAAAAAGGTTTATACAAAAAAAGTAGGTATTAAATAAATCTGTAAAATAAGACAAGTCCGATTAAATTCCGATAATTTGTTTATGCGCAAGAGCTCAAAAATGGTCGAAATTGTCCGCTTTTTTCAATTGCTAATAATTAATGCAATTTTCATCGCAGACACTTGTAATTCAGGATTTTTGAAGCTTTTTGCACCCTTAATAAGTGGTAAAAATTTCAGCCCAAAAACTTCATTAGCT